CATTTATTATTTTTTCAGTGAGTTCTTAATTTCTCTTAATTAACTTGTTATCTAGCTTGTAATATGATTCCTGGGTGAGAGATTTAAATAAAAAAAACTAGATTAAAGAAATTCGAATTAATATTTTGTCTTCCCAATCATTTGCTACTATTTTGCTTTTGATACGTGGTAAAATGTTTGAGAATGCCATAAACAATAGTTATTATTTTAATTTCTTCATAAATTCTGAAATATCAAAGTTCATTTAATTAAACAAGGCTTCGTTGGCTAACTATTCAGAATTAAACTTTGATGTTTTGGACTAACATGAAACTACACTCTCTTAATAATTTATCTGTGAACCATTAGTCTACGAGAAAAAAAACTTTGATATATATATATAAAAACTAATGCTTCATATACCTTCATTCATGCAAATAAAGAGTTGGAAAGACTCAGAAAAGTAAAAACTCCATTTTAGGTAATTGGGTCTTAGTTCAAATTATGGGTCTCATTAGATTGGATTTCTCAACCCGCAACCCGCCCCACCCCGCCTAAATTTAAAAAATAATTGTTATAACCCGCCCCGCCCGCCCGCCCGCCCCGCATACACTTAAACCCGCACCGCACCCGCATACGCTTAAACCCGCCCCCGCCCCGCCCCATTGCCATCCCTACTCTTTCTGCTGCATGTCTTAGCTTGGTGGTATATAATTCTGGCAATATGATCTCTATTTTGATTTTGCTTAATTTTTAGTTTTTGGTTTTCTCATTTGTGACTGCAGATTTGTAGCTTGGTTTAGTTTCTACACCATTTTAATGTTGGTTGTTTTGGTTGATTTTGCAGGTATTCAGCAAATTTTTGTATCGTTATAGTATACATGTCTCCCTATTAGTTTTACCTTTTGGTGGACTGACAGATGAACACTCTTCATTGAAGCTATTTCTCTAGACTCCCAAGTTAAAGCCTCAATGAAGAGCATTATCATTTTTATATGCAACAAAGTTAGTAGATTCTCCTTATAAAAGTTCTGTAGACTCTATTCGTCTTGTGATATCTAAGGTGTCCATTAAAGGCAATTTTGTTGATTCATGATGAGATTATGAGATAGTCCCTCTTTCTTTTTGGTCCGGGCCAAGCACTCCATATGTCTTTCGGTCTTGATCTGAGCACTCGTCTAACTACTAAGAAAGCTTGAGGGACCTTTCTTTCTGAGTTATTGGCTACCGGTCTTACTTCTCTTGGTCTCTTCCTCTGCGCTAAATAACTTGGCCCAGGATAGGGAATGCGAGCTTCTTTCACTCACTTGAGTTTGTCTGAACATTGGAACAGTAACGAGAAAAATGCCCCACTCCACATTCATATCCTTTTGTGGCTCTTCACTCCAGCCCTAAAGTAGTGAGATTTTATTTAGTACCATGTATTGAAGTTTAGAACAAGAAATGCTTAGACGACGAACAGACGTGCATTGAATCGTCGCAGGTTGCTTCCTTTTCTTGAACTATTGTCCTTCTAATTTCATCTGCCGAAGAAAACTCCTTTCACTATATCAGTCTTGGTATATTTGCTCTAACAGAGGATGGTTCAAGGATGGTAAGAACATTTTCCTTCCTTTTCATTCCTTCTAGCATTTGTCCTTTCATTTTGGAAAAAGAATATTACTACAATCTTTGGGGATATGAAATGAAGAACTATTCTATATTGGCAGTATTCAATGTCACAAGTAAAGATAAGAATAATATTACAAAGGTATCAGCCTTGGATTATATCATGAAGGTGAGCTTATTCTCTGTGCAAATTTAGAATCTTTTTACTTTCACCTTATAGTAAGACAATTTATTGTTTTTATTGGTGTTTCGCGTTTGAATTATTTAACTAAGTATGCTAACTGTTTCCAATTAAATTTGTGGGTTTAGACTTTAGAGCTTGACTGTTAGTACTAAAGGCTTACTTTGATTTTTTCAGGAAACTTATTCTATAATAGGAACATTAATTGCCAGTTGATCATTTTTGTATATCATAGCTTCTTTTGATGAATCAAAGATGAAAATAGTATTACAATGTGTAAACTTGTAATGGTACAAATTATTATTGCATGATTTGTGTCTTTTTTCTCTTCATGTCCAAAAAAAAGTTTCTTAAAATGCAATATTGAAGGTTGGGTGTAGCTCTTCAGTGAACGAGTTAATACTAACATAATCTTTGTAATTGACTTCTTACAAGAATAGCCACTTAAGTAAAAACGTAGTAGAGGAAATATTGCTAAATCTATTATCATAAATGAGGACATTTTGAAAGACAGATCTGGAGAAGTTTAATATTGGAGGGATTCAGTTGGTGAAGCAGGCAAAACAGTAAGATGCAATTTACCAAGTGGTTATGAATGGTACAAGGCTATCTTTCTTTTGTATTTCTTCTTTCAAGATATAGTGCTTTCCTTTCTTTTTAAAGTTTCTACTTAAAATTTCTCATTACTTCCAATGTGGTGGCAACGAGAGAGAACACAGGAAGGATCCAACTTCAAGTTCCGAGCATGATATACCAGAAACACCAGATCCAAAGCGTTTATCTTATGAAATTTTAATTTAATTTTCTTTACATACACTAAGGAGACTTGCTCAGAATAGAGAGGCAGCACGAAAAAGTGGACTCGGCAAAAAGGTACTTATCATTCTCTTATGTAGTGAGTTTGCTTTTCTTGAGCCGAGTGTCTATCAAAAAACAGTTTTTCTACCTGCACAAGGTAGGGGTAAAGACTACATACATACAACCCTCTCCAAACTCCACTTGTGAGATTATACTAGGTATGTTCCAAGCTAGAAATTTTAAATATTTTTGCACTTCCTAGCTTGAGGGGGAGTGTTGAGAAAGGTGTTACATAAGTCTTTAAAGGGTAGGTTAGTCATTTTATTATACTCCACCAATAGGAATCTAGTAGGTAGTTAAGTTAGTTGGACAAGTGTATTATATATACATACGTGTATACACACATACTGAATAACAGAATAATATTTCCTTTCTGATTCAATCTTCTTCTTCTTCTTCTTCTTCATTCTGTCTTCTCTCTGATCTCTCTTCTTTCTGCATCTACTCTTCTTGATTTCTCTTCTTCTTCATACAATTTCATCTATAAACTAGCAAAGCCATCTTACCTATAATCAACAACAATACTTCCAAAATAGAAGCCTCTTGCCATTTGCAGACCAGCATCAATTTCTTTTACATGGAAGTTCAATTTGGAACCAGCTACTCAACCAAACTTCACATGTTTACACACCATGATTAGAACAAATAAAAGATAATTCCAATCAGCAGATAAGTTTCATAAATGAGCTGAAACCATTAGTCGAAACTTCTGCAGGAAGACAAAAAATAAAAGTGCTCTAAGTCCTCATGAAATTCTACAAACACATGGTCAAATGAAAAGAAACAAAACTACTTCCTCGGAACTTTGATCAACAGATGTAGCGTACGTACTAAATGCAATAGTCAAAAAAGCTTACATGGTACACACTCATAACACCTATGTATCAAAATGATAATGCAATGTCAATTTTAAGTTTGATTGTGTTGGTTGAATTGCACTAAAATAAATCTGTATAAATCGTACCTTTCGACAAGCACAGATCCCTCTCAAACAGTTCCTCCACAACACCAACACTAGAATGCTTGTTAGATCTAGAAAATTTGCCTACTCCAGTAAGAACGTGACAAGAAATCCAGATATTGTACATGTAAATTAAATCAGAGGGCATATAGCTTGATGGATGAAATCCTTTACAACATGTAAGTTAATTAATAGAGATTCATTGCGATATCACGAGCAATGATGTAGAAAGAACTGTATGGTACTTATCAGGGGTCAAATTGTTAGGTGTTCAAAAAAAAATTTAAAAAACTGTAGTAAGATGGTGTCGTGTGTATGTGGGAAAGTAAGATATATTTTTCTCACTCAAAGCGCAGATACGTTTCCTATCTTTACTACTGAGTCTCGCAATCGAAACAACAAAAGATAACTGTTTTCAGCGAAACCAACAAGATACACTACAAAGAATAATATAGGCAAAATCGTGGCAAAATTATTAAGTGATACTACATATACATGAATACAAGTAAAATCTTCTGGCAAGCTTCTCTTAAGAAGTTTGTTCCGATGAGACACTACAATTACCTAGAAGCTCTACTTTTCTCTAAGTTCTATTGAGTAAACTTCATTCAATAAAGTTGTAAACTGATTGCTGCTCTCTCCTTCCCTGCGTTCTGGTTCCACCATTTATTATTCAAGATTCTGAAGATCAACAGCAAATTATATCAACAAAATCGTCAATATCTACGAGCACATCATCAGCCCAATTGATCTCTTCTTGGTAGTTGGAGCAGTCATTAATATAGCTGCTATTGTTATGTTCGTTCATCTTCTGAGCCTCGTCCATAACTTGATGTTCAGCTGCTTGACAAACTATTGCTGGTTGTACTGTTGCGCAGTAATCTTCATCAGGTCCATGCAACATAGCTCCGATCACGTTGGCAACATCTTGTTCCTCCATATTTACCCCATGATTTTTCTCTGATCTTGTATTCTTCTTGATTCGGCACACTACAATATCCTCTTTAGGAATGTTGTTTTCTATGAAGAAATCATCTCCCACGAAATATTCTTTCATCAGCCAAATTTTATTGTTCTCTCCTTGTTTAGTACTACTACTTTGAAACTTGAAACTTCTTCTAAACCCAACCACTGTTCCCTTGCCATTCTTGATAGGAAAACCTTTGGTTTGGACTTTCCATGTCCCGTTGGCGCAAGTTCGACGAACCCTTGTATGTTCGCTCTTCTGTTTCTTCAACCGAGTAAAAAAATAGCGAACCT